GTGCTACTCCCATTATTATTATTGTTGTTGTTGTTGTTGACGACGCTTAATTTCCAGAGGTTATCGATTGACATAAGGATCGTTTATTTTTCGTACGTTAACGTTTGACCAAATGAATGTTGTTGAATAAATAAAAAAAGTAAAAAAAACAAAAACAAACAAAAAAAAGTATTCAAAGTTTATCGCACGATACATGTGATTATACTTTCGCGCAAAACCTTGCGTACAGCTGCGCAGGTAGCTTCAACGCGAGACAAAAGAACATATTGATGATATACCCGCGTCTCTTGTTATCTCTTCTCATTCCTCGCTCCGCGACTTTCTTACCGTAATTCAGGTCTTTTAGAGTGAAAACGAAATATTTACCGATGTTACATTCCTTGATCCAAAGCATATAATATACATATACATACATATATATATTTTCATCGATCTTATACATACATGGATACATGTGTGTCTGTATGTTGAAATATTTATTTAGAGCACATTTATACGTAGTGATAGCGAAGAGATCTATACTGCAAATTATTTTTAATAAAAATATATGTATACACACGCGCGCGCGCACTTACGCTAAATCACTCTAAAAAATTTGAAAGCTCAAAAAAAAAAGCACCATTCGGCTCTTCTGTCTTCCTCCGAAAGATAAAACTCTCGACTGTCGCCAGACAAATTCTATATAGCGATAATTATATTATACCCGTGTATTTGCGACTATTGGCCCGCACGGGGGGCAATACTGTGTACGCCACGTTATGCTATGTCTATATGTAATGTACATCACCCGTGCACCAACTCTCAACACGAGCTTTCGATGAATCGGCGCGAAAGCTCATTTACTAATCGAATTGCAAAACCAATCGACGCCACGAGAAAGAATACCAATGTGGCAAATGGGGGAAAACACAAAAAAGTTACAAACATATTGTATGAAAGGCGGTAAAGGGGAACATTGATGCGATTGAAACATGTATAATTGTGCTTATGTCTGAGAAATTTAGCAAAGAAAGGCTCGAGGGAAAATTAGACGTTCGATGATTATGGCAACGCCAGCAATTAGGACAAAGAAAGTGATCAGTGCTATAATAATAATAATGATGATGATGATGATATACTGGTGTAAAGTTGAACCTACATATTATAAATACATACATGTACATATATATTTTAGAATCGATATACAACCGTGCAATTGCATTACGGCCAGATTTTCCGAAATCAGAAATGGTGTGTAATTTTGTAAGAGTTGATGGAACGGACGATCGATAGTGGGGAGAGAAAAGAATCTATATTTTTTTAAATATTCGGCAAAGTGAGGAGGAAAAGGGATTCGCACTACTTTTTAATACACAAAACACGACTGTTTCGACGTTTAACGAAAGATCCATGTTATGATTAGTTGTTAAACACCAATCAATTGAAATACCTTAAATGTGTTACTGTTACGTACGATGGTATGAAATTTTTATAACTAAACTTCTACATAGTTCATTTGGTAGCAGTTGATATTAGTGACTACGAGTATATACTATATACACATTTATATTATCGCTTGATCATAAGAAAAAAACTATTAATGAAAATGTTATCAATCGACTTGAACTATCTGTATAATTTTATCGATGTTGGAATGAAATAATAATTCTGTATGATTATGTAAAGTCGTATTATCACATTCCCTTAATTTTAGAGAAGTTTTTATGCACCGATACGATAGTACGTAATTATACACAATCTATTGATATGGCATATGAATGTTCCATTTAGATGAGATGTGAAAAAAAAGTAATTAGAAGAAACCCAAAAGTATTTACAAAAAAGTTACGAATATTATAATTCTACGGTATAAAATTGTCATGACGTGACACATGATTAAGCGAAAGGGTAATTAAAAAATTAAAAATTGTGTGTGTCAAGTCGCAATTCCATTAGTAAATGCAAAGCACAAAGTCCGACTCGTTGAAATTTATCCACTGCTTTTCCCTAAGCTTGAGAAAAAAAAATAATAATAATAAAAAACCAAGTGGCTCGAGAAACAGTTGATCCGCCCCCGTCAGAGCAAAAGTATCGAGCTGCATTGTATTAATTGTTACTCTAGGAATTCGGTCGCCACTTTGATCGAGACGTGTAATAGCCGAGTTACGTATCGTAGTTTTGTTGAATCACTTCGTGGAAAAGTACTCTCTGCCGAGAAAGGAAACAGATTTTTCGACTTTGATCGGTGCCACCAAAAAAAAAAAAAAAAAAAAAAAAAACCATGAAAAGAAATAAGAAATTGGTCAGTAGTTACTTTTCAAAACAGTGATTAGCAAAGTCAAAATCTACTGAGCGTAGTCGATCGATGTCATTCAATTGATTTCTCTTTGTGCTTCTGCGACCCTGAAGTTGTAAAACTTTTCTTACCAAAGTAGAAAAAAAAGAAAGAGTGAGGGAGAAAAGGCAGACGAGGCCGCTGTAATAAAAAATCAAGAGTGCACGAAACATCAGATACAAAGGACTCAACATAATATGTGTATGTCTCCCATCATTTTACCCATTTAGCGTTAATAAGCGGAAGAAAAAAAAAGAGGGACATGAAACTTATGTATGAAAAAAAAAAAATATTGAATATAAGTCAAACCAAATACATATTATACCCACTTGTCAAGCCACGTGTCTAATACTTACGCGACTAAGTGTGATTATATAAGGAACAATATAGTTACGTGTAAACCTGTACATATATACATATACCCAAATACGTAGCTTTTCGAGCGAGACGACTCGTCTATATGTACTTACAGTATTGATGAGGAGGGCGATACGTGGATAAAGTGAAAATTGGCTAATGGGCTCGTATACGCGCGGCTCCGAGGGGGGGACGGACAATTTGTGTGCGCGAGATATCACACGTAATAGCCTACGTCACGTTAGCGCCGTATACTCTTTGAAAACGAACAACACCTGCTCGAGTATGAATATAACACTGCACCAGCACGCAAATGTCGCAAACTCGCGCCCAAGTGCACGCTATATTGATGTTTCTCGCAAAAAAAAAAAAAATATATCTGTATGCTCGCACTGTGCAATGAATGTGCTGCGGAAAAAGATACAAAGTAGGTGAAACGTACAAAATTATAAATGATTATTTATATTATTAGTATCTGCCGTCGCAGCTACTTTTAGTTCGATAACAATATACATACAATGGACTAAACGCACTTGCACGTAATTGAATTTTCGTCCGCCACGGTGTGGATTACGCGGTCCGAAAGCTCAGCAAAAATTCAATTCTTCGTTCGTACGACTCGACATTCATTTCCGTCATCGAGATCAAACACAGCGATTTGATGCACCGAGATTATACCGACGCTCAACGGTACCCCGCGGCTAATTAATCCTCGGTGCTACTGTCTCGTGTCTCCGTTTACTCGCCAAAGTCCAGNTGGATTCATAAAAAAAACCGACCACGACACGTTTTGCTTGTTACGAGCCCAAGAGTCCCGGAAAACGTAATCATATTCCGAGATTGAAAAACTATTATTTTCGAGACTCGGGCACTTCCAAGATATATTTTTTTTTTTTTTTATATTTCGTAGACGCGATATAATTATAATATAAGAACGGCGTAGCGCAAAAATCGTTGTCTATTGTCTATAGCGATAAAATTTACGCCACGAGTCAAACCGTGGTTGTCTAGACTTTCGTCAGATGATTATTATTATTATAATTATTTTTTAGTTTTTTTTGTCAGTGGCAGGATGAATTTAACAATAGAAAAACCAAAAGAAATGTTACTCTAAGCTCAAACGCGTGTCAAAGTTGACGAGTGGAGCGATAATAATATACGGTGACACAATGATGTTACATTGACAAGTCCCCCTCCCCCCAGACATCCAACCATAGTTCCTTTTCTGATTTTTCTCGTATTTTCCACCTTTGAACTCATTCATCGGAAAATCAATGTTCATGAATATAATTCTTCTGGTACGTGTGGTTGGTAAACAATTTTTTCCAATGAATCCATCAATGTACATGCGAATACTCGATAACACGTCTGTATCGCAGAATTTAAATGCAACCCAAATTATTTGCACGTTAATTTGATGATATTACTGTAATAAAACGGAAAACAAATTCTTTGCAAGTGCCATGAGTTAGCACCACTATTGGTGTGCACATCAAGTTGAGCAGTAACACGACTGTATGTAAAATTATTGATTATTAAAAAAAAAAAAATCGGGGTATGTAACAAAACAAAGACGTTGCTTATTCATCGCGAAACTCGTTAATAATACCATATACTAGTTACATACATAATATTCCATAGTCGTCGAGGACCTGATGGGGCAAGGGTGACGATTGCGATGCAGTTAAAAGACAACTGTTGTGGGTCCTCAAGAACACACTGATTAAAATGGCTAGAGATTTGAAACTATCCAGGGGATGTCCTTAAAAAAGTCTGATGAAATGTACAAAGTAATTAAGAAAAGAAGTGTTATTAAATAAAACCTTTTCCAGATATTCTCCCTCTGTGTTTTCGTCAGACTTTTGGTAGGAGTTTCAAAGTGCTTTTTGTTGTTTTTTAATATGAAAAAATCATTACATTGTAAGATAAAAAAANAAAATAAGCTCTTTAGACAAGATAAAATTCCCTGAAAATAATAAAAGTAATTGTAATAATAATAATAATGATGATAATACCGATGATTTTTATTTAGAAATGTAACAGTGAAAAATGTAGTTGATGTTGTGTCGAGATGCGATGTGCGCAATTTTGATTTTCGCGAAAATTCAAGCGTTTGTTACAAATACGAGAAATGTGTTTAACGAAAAAAAACAAAAAACAAAAATAAAAAAAAATAAAAAAAAAATAAAAAACCAAAACAAACAAAAAAAACCAGAAATTGACAAAGAAAAACATAAAAAAAGGCGCGCGAGCTTTTGAGGTTCAACTGTAGTGCCTGAGAAGCAGCATTTATTCTTTGTATGTGCGTAGCCGTGTAAATTGTGTGCGTGCCAGGTAAAAGTGCAATTCAATTGCCGCCTAAAGCGTCAGGCAGTGGAGCGGAGGCGTGAGAAAAACTCGAAAAATTCTCGAATCTGCAGGAAAATCTGCGTCGACTCGGGAATTATTCCGCACATGCGTTACACGTACCACCTACTGATGGATCACTGGTTGTTGGGAATTTTCAGCTGCTCGCTGTTTTCTTCGATCGCCCGACTTTGAAAATTGTATCGCAATATCGATTAACATCATTGAATCGCGTAGAACAAAGTAAATTAGTTTGCTGTAGTCGTAGGTGTATATATATTTTTTTATGATTAGTCGTGACATCATCCGTTTCTCATCAATTTCAATCGGTCGATTAAATTAAATTAGATTACGTGCGGGACATCGATATCAAAGCAGCCAGTAGCCGAAGTCGAGCTTTAAAGAAAAAGAGCGAAACTGGAGGGAAAAAAAATATGCTGGTGCGATCGTAGTTTTACAAAGTTGGCAAGATTCGTTAAATTTACAAATTTTACGCTACAAATCATTGTTTGTTTATTCCCAAAGTAAAAAAAATTAAAAAAAAAAAAAAAACCTGTGGATTGGACGTGTATGCACATCGTACGCGCAATCCGTGGATTTTCTGATAATTGTGTATTTGCACGGTGATTGTAAATTTTTCGAATGATCGAAAGCTGACATAACAATTATGTTGATTTTCTGTGCATTTTTGTCTGTGGAACACGAATTTTGCGATTACCTTACAAATGAATAAAAACCAAAAATAAATAATAAAAAAAAAAAAAAACCATGGTTAGGATTATGAAGTTACATTGTAAAATATTAATACTTAATATTACAATAAATTTACAATAGTTATAACAAAAAGAAAAAGTTGTTTTATTGATCACAAAATAATCACACTTTAGGAATGTTTTGAGCTTTATTTTCCAGCAACCGCGGTGTCACTAGACGGACATGTTTATAACATTCGTAGCTTCCAAGAGACTCGTCACTACCGTGGACAGCTTGAAAGATGTGTTTTTCATGGTCAGTCGACTCTTCACACCGGCATTGTGAAGAGCATAGTGGTAAACGTCGGCGTAGAACTGAAAACATCACCATTGATTTTTTATTTGTTATTATTTTTTCAAACTTTTGATATTCGTAATTCGAGTAAACCTATTTTGCTCTCACCCTGTCGTTCGCATTGGCCGGCTCGGTCGTGAATTCCGGACTGACCTCGAAGCAATTAACAATCGACGTAGACGCCGGAGTTACCAGCATTATCGCCGTTATCCTCTAAATTGAAGCAACAATTAACATCACTGAGTTGTACATTTTGAATTGCATGGTCTTACCTCCTTGGCGACGCAGCCGTGCACCTCCTTGATCTGCATGACGATTTCTCTGGGGCCTCGCGTCGCGTTCCACCTGGACCACGAAAAGACGTAGCTCGTGGCCAGCAGTCCCATGCAGGTCTGCAGGTGGCCCAACGTGACCGAGTGCTTCAATGCTATACCCTTGAGGTAACTGGCGGCGTCGGCCTCGGGAAAGACATCACAGCCGGCTGCTCGCATTTTCTGCCCGACTCGGTTCCCCTTTTTACTCCCACGGAAAAAATAGTCTCGAAAAAAAAAAAAAAAAACATGACTCCGCTCACCTTGACGAGCAGGTCGAGCCTCATGAACTGGCCCATTAGCTCCCGCAGGGCAGTCAAGGCCCCACCAGCCACCCAGTGCAAGCTGGCCAAGTCCTCCTGAAATTACGACCGATCCCGTGACCCACGATCGAACGGAAAGAGAGTAAAAACGATTTGCGGCAAGTGGTACACTACCCTGAGGAGAAACTCGAGCTGGACGATGGAGCCCGTGAGACCGAGGAGGACGCCGGTACCGCCCTTCTCCGGCTTGAGTTCCCAACTCTGGAAGGGCAGGTTGACGAATCGGTAGCCCGCGAGGGCGTGCACGCCCAGCCTGCCCGTGCGAAACGTGATGATCTGCTTCTCCTCGTTGTACTTGATGTCGTGGACGTCCTCGGTCGACCAGAGCCGTTGCTCCGGTAGCCAGTGGGCGACGAGCGGCGGCTCGAACCATATCACCGAGCTGGGCAGCCTGGGTGACGCATGCGATACAGGGAGGCAGGTATGAGGATACATATATAGCTCCCGACTGAGTGAATGGCGTGACGAGAGAAGTTATCATTTTTTTTGTTCTCCGTGCCCTCGGCTTACGCATTAAAAAAGGTGAAATTGGCAATTTTCTTTAAAGTACCTCTTTTCGACGTAGAATTGTTCCGTCTCGCACATTTTCAGCGAAATAAGAGAAAACACTTAATTCGCTTAATACGTAAATAAATCGACATTTTTCCGTTTCATCAAGACTTTATGTCATTCCTCTCATCATTTTGTGGATCATTTTTTTCGATTTTTGTTTAGGGTTATCCATCTCAAATAAAACAGTGAAATATGGATTCATAAAAAAAACCGACCACGACACGTTTTGCTTGTTACGAGCCCAAGAGTCCCGGAAAACGTAATCATATTCCGAGATTGAAAAACTATTATTTTCGAGACTCGGGCACTTCCAAGATATATTTTTTTTTTTTTTTATATTTCGTAGACGCGTCCGTACAATGAGCATACAGTTAGTCAAAGAATAGCTCCCAGGCCGTGCACTTGTACAAACGAATAATAAACCAAGTTGAAACGTACGCGCGAATGGCTCGTTCCAGCGTAAATTTAACACACATTCGGCTGCAGGAAGGATTGCCTGCGCAGTTAATAAGCAAGCTGACGCTGTACCTACGAAAACCTATCTCCGTATATGTATAGCTATAGTTTTTTTTTTTTTTTTTTTTATATTATAGTGCTCTACGTCCGGCTCCTTTAATAAGGGCACTACTATGGGCACTTATCACTTGGGATAAGGAAGGGAAGAGGGATGGGAGGCCTCACAATACTGGGAGGGGGGTAGGGGGAAATTAGGCAATTTTGCTGCGAGAAGGTCGCCTAAACCCTCCTCGAGGAGCATTGCGTGGTGAAAAAGCACATGTGAAAAATCACAGAGGTACTTGCCCGTATAGTCGCACTGGCCGGGAATTGAACCACGGTCTCCCGCGTGCCAATCCACGACCTAGCCGACCGAGCCACATATATAGCTATAGTTAAAACCTCTCGGTTAGCACTGCAGCGCGCGAAAATGCTCGCCGAGGGGGCAAAGAGGAAGAGAGAGAGAGACAGTTGCACCTGCGTGAGCCGAGAATTGCAAGTTGTAAAGTGTGCACAACAATGTACATATACATCACATGGATATTGTATACGTTTGTCAATGGCACTGATAATGGGAATGATGGCATACTTGAGAGTGACGAGGACGAGGAGCTCCATCGCAGCCTCGAGCGCTTTAATCTCCGCCTCGATGACTTCCGGGGTGCGCTCGGCATCTGGAGCTGGGGGCGGCGCCTTGTACGGCCTCCAGAACTTTACGAACTCGAGCTCCTTTGGCAACTGCACTGCAGCGTGTAGCGACCGCGATAGGACGCCAGCGTATCATTATATGTACGACAGAGTTCAAATTTAATTACGACCCCCACCCCCTCCCTGCTCTCGCTCACCCGCCCACTTTTCTTATTTATCCTGTTCCAAGTGCTCCTTGCGCACTTTCACTGTTATATTACAGGGATGATCTTGCGTTTCATTCGGTTAGGCAAAGTCAGCTCCAAATGTCGGTTATTGCAAAAATAATTTCTAGGTGGTTGTTCCGAGTTTTACCCATCCCAATGTCACCCCGTACTGTTATAACGCTCGTGAAATTATAACTTTTGCAGGTACTCATAGCGGTTGGATGATTTTTTTTTTTTTTTTTTTTTTTTTTACACATCAGCTCAACTTTTTTGTTAATAATAGTTTTACAGTTGCCATTTTTTTTACAAGTTACAAGTAAAAACTTCGTTTTCCCAACAATATATACATATATGTTATAACAAAAGAAAAAAAATCTGATTCATCCAGTCTACAGTATAGTATCCCACTTGTCACGTAAATCAAATAACCCGTGTATTTGGCCCATCGGAGGATCGATAAGTAATTAGTATACAATATACACTCACTTACGAGTCGTGAGGAAGGTGTCGCGGCTCATGTCCTTCGGCTGGGGTGGCTGGCCTATCAGATCGATCTGGTAGAGTCCGCCGAGGATCGTGTACTTGCGCAGATTTATCTCCGTCTTTTTGCACCTCGTGAACAGCAACCGCCTCGTTTCCTTTCTGATGTCATCTGGACGGGCAATTAACGTTTTTGCGAACAAACCAAGTGTTGCACGGTAACTCGATTAACCCTCGAGAAAATTACCACTCGATAAATTATCAAATTAGCTGAATAGTGTTTCGATGAATTTTTAGAATTAATACCAATAGTACATATCTCCGAGGATCTCAAAGATTTTTTTTTTTTTTTACATTTGGAATTCCTCGAAAAGATAAAAAAAAAATCACAATGGAAGCGGACAAAGCTGCGAAATCTATAGGATCCTAGTAAACCGTAAAACAAAAAAAAGGGGGGGGAAGGACAATTCACCTTCTCGCTGCAGGACTATCTCCTCGGGTGAGGGTAAGTAGGGCAAGGCCTCGATCCCGTGCTCCTTCGGGTCGTCCTGTTTGTCCTTGGTCTGTGGCTTTTTGGCCTTCTTCGCCTTCCCACCGGCACCGGCTTTTGTCGCAGTAGCCGATGGATTCAACAGCCGCTCGATCTGGGCGCGCTTTTCTTCCCTCCGTCGCTCCCTCTCGTCGCGCTGCTCGTCCTGGATGCCGTTCACCGTGTTGAGCTCGCGCTGGCAAAACTCCAGCAGATCTGCACGGGCATGTCATTTCCCAGGCTTTTATTCCCCTCTCCGTCCCCCTTTGCGATAATGTTGTATTTTGTGAAAATAAGTTTACTTCCCCCCTTCTCCCGAGGTAAAACAATCGATGAACAAAGTTGGGTGAACTTTTCAAATAGCGTATAATCGTTTTGCAATTCGGCCAAAGAGCTACACATATAGCGGAACCTGAATATTCATTGGGAATTTCGTGAATAAATTTTAACTGTTCGCGGAGGCTCCCAAAGAAGTGATATTTTCCGAGGGTGCGAGTGTAAGCTTACACGGTGATGGCGAGAAAAGTTTATGCTACCGATGAAAAACTTGGGTTTTCATTTGGAAAAAAAAGAAAAAAGAAAAAATGTAGTTTCTCTGCTCAACGAGGAGTGCAGAGTACCGCTGCTCTTTGAAAGTTCGATTAAAAAACTTTTCCACTCGGCTACTGAGCTTTATTGCGTTGTTGGACAGTTAAATGCGTGTAATTACGGGCTCCTCCGGTAGGTTTGTGTATCTTTTGAAGCGCAAAAAAAAAAAAAAAAAAAAAAGCTCATTAATATCGAGACGTGGTAGCAACGTATACACGGTAGGAACGACAAAAACGGAGCCAAAGGGTGGGGCGATAAAGTTGTAATTACCCGTATCCGGGCGAAGCTCCTCTGGAAGATGGGGCATGGCAAATGAGTCGGTGAGGTCGGAGTAGTAGTCGTAGCCGAGCCAGAGAACACGAATGGCGGTGCAGTAGCAGTCGAGGTCGATGGGCATCTTCACCGACAACTCGACCTCCTCGAATGACACTTCCACGGCCTTTCTGCGGGTTATCACGTAATCGGAATTGAAAAATGATAGAAAAAAAAGGGAAAATAGCAGAGTCGAAAATAAACAAGATCGAAAAAGAAGGAAAAAAAAGTTTTTTTTTGTTTTTAACAAATAGTCGATAGCATTGAAAAAAGAAAAATGTACTTGTCCTTTTCGCTGATCTGTTTCATGCTGATCGGTAGCCTTATCAGAGCCCAAAAGCAGCAGACGAGCGGAGCTAATTGCCGCACGTACTTGGCATTCCTCAAATCAATCCTTACTGTGTTTCTCTCGATTTCCCGGAGCAAACAGTAACTCGCCATGTCGATCCACTTTGCCAACTTGTCTCGAAACTTTTGCCGTATCTACGATTGTTTTGAACACGTATGTACACGTACACATGGTTGTTCGTAGTTCGCGTTTGTGCTCATAATAATAGAAGCGGGTAACCTACATTTGCGTATTTTGAAACAATATTGATCGTCATACTCCCCGCAAGGGAGAAACCCATCCCCACCCCCTCAGGAAAGTAAATACGCTGTTTATGTACGTATACACGTATGGATGCACAAATAGTTTTTTGAGAAAATAAGCTTTCCACGTGTCAAGGTACATACACCGAAAAAACAATGTTGTTCTCCCGAGTCGGTCATTTTCACCGATGTATTGGATTTTGATCTTTGGGAGGTAAATAAAAAATAAAGTCACAGGGATATTATATATATATATACCTGTTTACAGTTCTCCAGGTAGTTTGACGCCGTTTCCCTGGCAGATGCTATGATGTCGTCCATTCGCCTAATCAGCTGCGAAAATACGAGAGAAATCACGTGACTGCACCTGAATTCTTGAACTGCACATTATTCATACTTGTAATACTTATCGCGCCAGGAAGAGAAAAAAAAAAAAAAAATCCGAAAGCACGCGTATTTCGAACTCACGTATGTAACAATTTCGCATTGTCTTGGCAGGGTTTCCATGCTGGCTGCCGAGTCGTCGAGAGACCACAGGAAGAGAAACGCATTCAATTCCGGGAGAACCGATGCATCTGGCAAGCCGTCGCAGCTCATGTAGTAGGACCACTGCAGCGGAGTGAAAAAAAAAATCAAGACGATATTCCTTACTTTGCATTTAAAAATACGGATGGAAGGAAAAAAAAAAACCTGAGGATCGAGTGCTTTTTTTTGTTTTTTTGTTTCCAGCTTCCGAACAAAATGGAGCAAAGCAATTACCTCCTCCCCGATACAAATGGCCCAAATAAATTACACGTACATACACATACATACGAGAGAGAGAGAGAGAGAGAGATAGGCACGACCCACCTCCTCCTGTTTCGAGCACTCGAGCGCGTAGTCCGTAAAAGCGTCCCTCCGAGCGGCCACGTGACTCGAGGTTTTTTTCAATTGGCCTCTCCTCAACTGCATCCGTTCCCCCTCGAACCTCGCTCTCGCCTCGATGTTGCTCGTCTCGTTCTCTATCTCGGCCTGCAGCTCCTCCACGAGCTTCGATCTGTTGGGAAAAACAACAACATACTTACACACCCTTTTACCAAAACGCATCCATAGGCGCTCTACCGGTCGTCCTGTCGTTTGTTTTTCTGGGCATTGCGAGTCGTCACGTAGCTCTTGAAGAAGGTAATTTGCTCGAGAAACTCGCCGATCGTTGACATCATTTTCACCGCCCAACAAAAAAAAAGGCCAATCCTATACATCGACCGTATCGAGTTTCGGTGGCGCTTTTTACAATCCCGGCGAAGGAGCGTCAACAAGCAAACGACAATTAATTTCCGGTGCAGGAAAAAAAGGCCTGGGCTTTGGGAAAGGGACAGGTGGTGGCGTATACCCACAGCTGCGCGTTCGGGGTTCGATTGGCGACTGGAATGCACGAACGTGCTAATTCCTTTCGACCCCGTTGTTTTACACCCTCCCTCCCTGGTCGTGGGGGGGTAGCGACGAGGTGTGCGGTGCAGGAGCGCCTCGTTAGATTTTCACCCAGTTGAGCAGAGTTGCTTGCTGGTGCTCGAGAAGGGAGGGCTGGAAGTCGGCCAAAATAATCCCAAGTGAGCGCCCCCGTGTAGGTGCGCCACAATGCATGTACGCGCCTATATATCAGACCTCGAGCATGTACGAGGGAGCACCGTTGTGTTATATATACATACTTCTTCGTGTTACACGCACGAGCCAACTACTTAACCGAAAGCTCGTTCGAGGGGGGGGGATAATGTTCATCACTTTGCATGACAATACATTGATAAGCTGAATATGATACGATCACAAGTTATTGTCAACCATTAATAAATCCTATAGGCATATGTAGAAGGATTTCAAAATACAAAAACATCACATGAGAATCATTATACAAAAGCTTACTACATTTGATTAATTATCGAAGCAGGTGATGCATCTCGCGTGAAATTATTTAATTAACGCAAGGACAATAATTACATACGGATATTGCGAAAATTCGACAGAGATCTTTTCACAGTTTTTTTTTTTTTTTTTTATTGCTATTGGTATTATTTGTCATGTATCTCTTTTCACGATCCATTTAATCTCACATAAGTACTTGTAAGACTTAAGGCTGCTCACCAACGAAAATTCGAGTCTAACCAATGATAGTACAGGGGGCGGTTACCATATATAACTTTATGTATTTTTATGTCGGGTTGGCTGACTTATGAAAAGAAAATGTACACTCCCATAGTTCCGTGCGCAGTTTGCATGCCGAGCGAGCCCTTGGAGTTAAAAATTCTTTGAATTTGCGTGAAAATACGGCCGAGGGAAGATAAAATAGAGCTACGAGCGCTTCTGCTGAACACACTACCGTATACGTATATATAAGGTATACGCTGTATATATATCCTCGAGAAACATACGAGGAGCTTGCATACACACTCTGTGAAATATATAGGGCTTAGCGTGTTTGCACTCTGCATACCAGCATACGTACGATTTCATACACGTACGCATAAAAATATGTTTATACATATACACGTACACGTATAAATATATGTATACATGCACCTATAATTTCTCTATAAACACGGGCTCGCACGTGGGCTACACGGTACATCCCTCCACTCGTACTCTTTCAGCTTATCGTGCCTTTAATAATTTTACCTCTGCCGAGACGACGATTGGACGTGTATACACTTATACCTCAACTAAGTTGAAGACCCGGAGTAACTTTATAGGCTGCAGTGCCAACAATCTCGTATCGTATTAATAATAATAGTATTGAAATAGCAGGTACGGTTTTAGCCATGAGAGAGTTGAAAGCTGAAAAAAAAACCATTACAGCACTTCAGTTGACGTACATACAACTTCAGCTATCGTGTCGACTGTATACCTACTCACGGGTCTTGGAAGTTTAGTTGAATTTCTTACGCAGATGCACACGCAGACACACTCGGACGGTACGCACCACTTACGCAACACACTAAAAGCCTATATATACATAGCGTTGTCGTCGCGCTTACTCTGTACGGTTTTGCACTCGCCTTACACCCACGCGTACGAGGATATTTGTTTCGTCATAAATATAGAGTCGTATACCTACCCGCGTCGCGAGACGGAGTTTTTGGGTTTTCTGTGCCTATACGTGTAAGACAACGTACATTGGACGATGACTAACTAGATGGGCCGATTGTAATGGGTATTCGGACCAGCGCTGCGAGAGAGCACGGACGAGCTTTACGTGCTTGCAAATGACATTTCGGGCACGCGCGAGCACCCGCATTTCGCGACTCTGCTCCGTTCGGTTGTACTTCTACTTACCTAATTATAAGACGCGCTGGTTGTTTTTTTTTTGTTTTTGTTTTGTTTTTTTTGCTACATTGATATACATATACTTATCATACAAATGTATAGATTTTTGTGCTCTAGACACCAACAACTTACTTCTCCTCAAACAGCTCGGTCACCCCTACGTTCTCCGTTTTCGTCTCCGCTGCTGCCTTTTCCTTCATCTTCGACTTCTTGTCCTTCTTTTCCTTTTTTGTCTTCTTGTCCTTAGTTTGTGCTTTCGATTTGCTCGATTCCTGCATGGATGATGGACATGTAAACAAGAGGACCGATTTCATTCACAATACAATATTCATTGGCTTCGCTCTTAATTTACCCAATAGGGAAAAAAATAATGCAATACAGAGAGCTCTTTTAATCACTCGTTTTGGAAGACAAATTTTTTTTTTCCTTTTTTGCCCCTTTTGGAAAATATACGGTTACGGTTTCCCGACTCCCTACACCACGAGCATAAATTCCCGGGGTTTTGTTTCGCCGGTCGTTTCTCAACCTCGGGGTAACTGCACCGCGCAACAATAAGCACACAGCTGCAGCGCCTTATCTCTCTCTCTCTCGAATAGGACTACAAAAATTTGTGGCACACGAATTCTTGGAAATTAACCGATTCGCTAAAAAAAAAGGACAACAATGCATCTTTACGTAGGAGGGAAGTTTGGGCGTACGAGTAAAGGATCGGAGCCCGGACTCGTGCAAGCTCCATAAGTCAAGACCCGCTGGAGCTTTTTCTTATTTTCATCGAAGCACGTCTCTATCGCGGAAAATAACTCTCCACCCGAGCTTAAAAGATTATTCGAAGTACATTCGGGTCCGCGCGGGTGTGCACAAGCCAGCCCGTAAATCCTCACCAAAAGCAGAGAGAGAGAGAGAGAGGAAGGGGGGGGGGAGGGGAGAAATAGAGGGCAAAGTACGATGATCTCCCGAAGCTTGTCGAGCTTGAGGCCGAAGTAATCCATCTCGACGGGCACGCCGAGGCCGTCCCTCGAGCCATCCTCCTCGTACTCGTGGTACTCCGACAGGAGCTTCTGATTCCCGAGGTCCTTATCTCCCAGTCTTCCGGCGTGTTTCTTGCCCCTGCGTCGCTTAGACTTCGACTCCTGAGTCGTCGTCGTCGTCATTGTCGACATCGTTTCGACGCTCGACGATATGCTGATCGACGACGCCGCCTCGCCCTCTCCATCCTTCTTCTCCGCCTCGCCGGCATCGGTGACTCTTCGCAGCGAATCCACGTCGTTTGCGTGAGATGTGACTGCCGACACCGCTTCCATGGTACCTTTGTTATTTTTTTTTTATTTTTTTTTTTTTTTTTAAGAGAGAGGTTAGGTGAGAGCTTTGGCAGAGATTGAATTTTTGATTGGTTTTGGTTACTTTGCGCTTCCCGATCGATATCAGGGTGATTTTATCGCCAAACTCTGTTTCTCGCAAACAAAAAGTAAAATTACAACAATTTGATAGATGTCCGGTAGACGCGCACCCTTTTTGCGTACATGACGAATATATTCAATGTTTTTGCTGTACAACGTGCAATTTCGTGTCCAATGCATCGTCGAGATTTAATGTTCGCATGGTCATTATGTACATGTCCGTTTCGGATTGTTGACCTGACGCGGTATATAATTACATGTGCGGTGCTCGACTTTCCTCGTGGAATAATAAACAATATACCGTGAATTGGGTGAAAGCATCGATTATCATAATAATTGGTACATACAATGCACAAAATTATAATTAATTTAAATTAATAAGTTAAATGGTAGACAAAACATCATTTACATTTCAAATTATTTTTTTATTGCGGTTTCACACTTACAGCTCTTCTTGCTCGATGGATTTTTTTTGTTTTTTGATGCAATACAATTTTACGCGAAAACTATACTTAAACATAATATGATTTTATATTTGGCAGAATAAAGTTGTTAGCTGCTCTAGTTACAAACACGTGTTTGTCAATACTGTGCAAAAGCCGTACTGTGTTTATAATTAAATATGCTTCAACCTCAGTATTAAAATGAGGTCGTTGTATGGTAAATGAATATCGAGTAATGCAACAATAAGGGGTTATCAAGTAGGTTAATTACAATGTGAATCACCTACATTTTTTTAATACCAACATATTTTTTTAAGGATAATAATTAATGTTTTTAGCATATGAGTCTGGTAGATTTTTCCTACTTAATGTGATTGTGAATTTTTTAAATCTATTTTTTGGAACTTGAAAAGACGATCGTATTGATTATGTTCATACTTATATTCATACGCATATCCTGATGTAAGTACAAAATCGTATTTAAAAAAACTTAAATATAGGTATGGATAAATTGAGGCAAGTACTAGATACACGGGATAAAGTGTGTTTGCAAACAATTTTTAAAAAAAAGTTAACAATATACTCTGTAAAATTTCAACAAACAATTTTTTTACACATTCACTGCTTACGCAATTTTCTAATAAATTCACACAGCGCAACATACTCGAAGCGATAACTAACGTGTATAATATATAATATACATAATTATGCCCAAAACGTGTAAGTAGTTATAATGTACACTCATCAATCAAAGAATAAACTGCAATAATACATTTGTACTGAAGTATAAATTTTTCCTCAACATGTAAAGATAGTGGAAACAAGCAAGGAGACAAACAAACTCAAAAAAACAAATAAATAAATAATTGTTAGTAAAACACAAAAAGTGCGATACTGACACGAAATAACATGATCGAATAGTAGCAATAAATAATATTTCCTCATAACCGAATCGAGCCTGATAGAGTTCAAATTGACCGACGACCGCAGGAGGAATACTGAGTATTTCTGTACAATATATGTAACACTGTATGGTATTGACTATCCATCCCACAACAATACTAAACTTTTGCACGATGTACCGATCTTTATTGATTCCATTGGCGTTTTCGAGCGACTACTCTCAGAGCACCTCGAGGGTCGGTATTTCTCTCTCTTTCGAGACCTCATCGCTAATAGAAAGAGAGAGAAAGAAGCAATAATGCAAATAGCGTTTGGTGCGGTGGTGGCAATTCGACTCGCGCCGGCTGTATTGATGAATAATCAATGAACCTTTTGACCCCGCGCTCGGACTCTGGTATAACCGACGACGGCGATGGGCTCTTTTGGTCTATCTTCTATACTTTGATGTTGCTGCCTGTATGAAACGGTCGAGCGTCACTTCCTGTCCTCTAAAATCGACGATGTCGCGGCCAAAGTTTCAGCTCGCCTCGCTATGAGTCGTTTTCGTCGCGCTGCCGTTGACGCATCGCGATCGTTATCGTCTTGTGTAACTGTGCTACTCTTTTTTTTTTCTCTTCTTTTCTTTTTTCATATACACGTTAGTGCAATTTTTTTTCCCAACAGTGGTTTCCCTGCTGTGATTGGAGATATATTTTTTTCCACCCTTACTCTCACATTGCAGTTTTTAAGTGATTTTAGCGTGCAAGGTGAGTATTATGACTGTGGCCATTTAACGATACTACAAAAATCGGTTGTTGGTTTTTTTTTTTTTTTTTTTTTTTTTACTAAGGATCAGAAGGCTTTCGAATTTTTGGAAGATTTTATAAAATTTGAGGTAGGAATTTGAAGTAAGCAGTTAGTCTAGCTCAACATATTACTTACGATTTGAAAGTTCGTATTTTTATGCAAATTAGTTGAGGCTTCTGAATTAGATGAGAAATCTTACAAAAAAATAATATTACAACTAAAATTTTTTGGTTAACACACAAAAATTTCAAGAAAAATTTGATGGTAGTGTAATAAAATGTGACCCACCGCCCATTACAGATATCGTCTCAAAAAAAATGAACGTATATCGTATAAATGGTAAGTTAAGTAGTAATTAATACAAAAAAGGTCTTGCGTACTATGGATATATCGCAGCGTGTTTAATTCTCTTAAATAATATATTTATTTATGTTTGAGTTGCTACTATATTGTTGTAATGAAAAAAAAAAAAAAAAAAGTTACCATCACTCCATAACGACATTCACGAGCGTAGAAAGAAATTCCGAGCTCATCAAAGTCCAAAGTGTGATGTAAGCGCCATGTGATTGTTTAGTCAAGTTTAAATTTTAAATACCAAGTTTGATGCAATGATTGTAAAAATGGCACATTTTTTTTTGTTTTTATAAACGTAACATACTTTTAAATGCATACTCTTATCGAACAAAAAAAAAAGATGTGATCGAGAATTCAAACAGTACGGGCTTTTTACACGACAGAAAACATATGCAATTCATATATGTTAAATAATACAATAGAGTATTCGTACCGATAAAATGGTAATCCAAGATACATGTAAATAATCAATTGCTTGGAAAATTTTGTTTCCTCTTCCTACCGCGTGAAATAAGAAAAACGTATATCAGTGAAAGTTCTAAGACATCTAAAATAACACTCTAAACATAAAAAAAAAAATATATGCTTGCTGTCACGTTCAGAATATTACCGTGTCTCTAGATGAGCCTCAATCGAGTAGATCCGACCACCTCGATACCGGCCTTTTACGCTGGCCGGAGCATCTTGGTCACAGGCGGCACGGGATTCATGGGCAAAGTGCTGATCGAAAAGCTACTCTGGTCCTGTCCAGACATTCAAGAAATCTTCCTCCTCATGCGCCCGAAGAAGGACATGTCCATAGACGAGCGGCTCAAAAAAATGCTGGGCTTGCCGGTAAAGCAGCACTCACCCCACGCCCTGCCCAACCGACTATACTCCCCCATCTCCTGCGAGTGACAAGTCACCCACACCCATCCATCGTAACCAACGCATCATCAGACATCTCTGAGCAAAATCGTACATTCCTTGCCCCCGCAGTTGTTCGATAGGCTGCGCGAGAACCGTCCCAGGGCTTTCGAGAAGTTGATCCCCGTGACGGGCGACACGACCGAGGAGGGCCTGGGCTTGCCACCCATCGAGAGACAGTACCTCATAGACAGGGTCTCGATCGTCTTCCACGTGGCCGCCAGCGTAAGGTTCGACGACTCGCTGAAAAACGCCATTTTCATGAACACCCGGTCAACCAGAGACGTTTGCATCCTCGCCGCGAGCATGAAGCAACTGGTGGTGAGTCACTCATCGTGACACTTTTTTTTTTCCTCTGCAAATTAACAGCAGCGCCGACAACGCCACTCATACCGAGTGTTTTCTTTTCTCTTTCTGTCCATGCGCTCTCTTCTAGGCTCTCGTGCACGTGAGCTCCACCTACAGCCACACGGACAAGTACTGCGTGGAGGAGAAAATCTACCCCTTCGAGATGGACTGGAAGAAGGCCATCAGGATAGCCGAGACGGTGGACGACCACACCCTGAGAATCCTCACACCCAAGTGAGGCCTTTTGCGATGTCACTATTGTTACCAACCAAATAGAATTTATTTCGTATCATTTAAATTGATTCGTGTGCTCCAGGATTTTGGATTGTTTTCCAAACACGTACACGTTCACGAAGAGACTGGCCGAGGGGGTTGTCGCCGACTACGCCGGTGTACTGCCGATCGTCGTGTTCAGGCCGTCGATAGGTAAACCGATCGGGGGATGAAAATTCTCTGGAGACGATCTAACGTCAGCTTCGATATGTTCTGGTACAGTGATTTCTGCGATTTTGGAACCTCTTGGCGGATGGCTGGACAACTTCAACGGGCCCGTGGGATTGATGATCGGTGGTGGCAAGGGGGTCCTCCGGGTCACTTGGCTCGACGGGCACAAAACGGCCGACTTTATCCCCGTGGACGTGGCCATCAAGGCGATGATCACCGCTGCGTGGAAACGGGGCATTGTCACGTACCGCGCTCGTTCCCCATCAATTTTCATTCTTTTTTTTCTTTTCAATACTCTATTTATTTTTTATTTTTCACGCAATCGCTTCATCACAATGGCACTTAACTCTCCCGATTTTTATAAACGCAGGATCACCAAGGATCCAAACATTGCCGTGTATAATTGCTCGGCCTCGGATCGCAAGAGCATCAGCATGTCCGAGATCGTGGAAATGGGTCTCCTCCACACCAAGGACATACCACTAGAGGGTATCCTTTGGATCCCCAACATCACCATCTCGACCAACAAATTCGTCTACTACATCCTGACAATGCTGCTGCACATCCTGCCGGCTCTCATGATCGACTCGATTTTAAAGGTCTCGGGAAGGAAGCCCATGTATGAGCGATTATTTATCCTTTTGCTTTTACATCGATGCGTGACGAGGTTCGTATGATCGATCGGTGGGAATTCCAGGCTCCTGAAGTTGCAGCGAAAAGTGTATGTGGCGAACAACGCGCTGCACTATTTCCTGACCAACGAGTGGAAGTTCATGAACGCCAAGATGCACAACCTCCTGGTCGACACTCCACCTGCCGACCTCGACTCCTTTGGCTTCGAGTACGCCAGCTTCGACATATACAACTACTTCAAGTGAGTTTTTTTTTACAGCTTGGTGATTAAATCTTTTGGTCGATTTTCCACTCACGTTATCTGTATCGAGGACTGTTTTTTTTTTTTTTTTTTTTACATCTACAAATTATAATTATCTTTTCGTGAACCCTAAAAATCACCTACAAGCATCTGTGGAAATTTTATTTGTTTACCTCTCATAGCTTTGGGTCTCGGTATCGCGGTTAATTAATCGGCGGTTTTACTTCCCCAACTAATTTCGGTCTAATCGATCCGAAGGATCCATTCTCATCTCATCTAATCTCGTGAACCGCAGTTTTGGCCAAAGTTAGCGCGTCATACACCTACTACGAATTCTAATGAAATCACGAGAGGAAACCGTCTTGCACTGTCATGCTCATTAGTTTACAAGTAATTGGGCACTATTATTGACGTGGATCCAAATGGCAAAGTGTATACTCCAATAAAAAGTAAGACTTTACTGATACACAATGAGTTTCTTTTGTGTCGACAGGACGTGCATCGTCGGAGCGAAAAAGTACCTGCTCCACGAAAACATGAACCGACTGGACGATGCCAGAAAGCACTACAATAGGTGAGTCACTGTCTTTTCATTTTTCTCCGATATTCATCCCGTACACGGCATATTTATTTTCACCGCCTTCATTATTCCGCTCCCCCACGTAAAACCTCTCGTTGAATAGGTAAAGTTTAGCGAGGGGAAAAGAAGAGAATGAATAGAAAAATGATATCTTTTCGGAAGAATAGCGAGCGCCCTCGATTTTTTTTTTTTTTTTTTTTTTCATGAGCATATACGTATCATATTTTCCCTTGAGCCAAAGAGTGACTCTTCGTTGCGTATAACGCGGGAAAATGCCGCAACAGAGGGGAGAGTTTGAAAGAGACTTTGCGCGCACGGATGAGAGAGAGGAGGAAATGACTGAGTTCCCAAAGAGACGCGCGCGAGTTTAGAGGCGTGTGCTATATATATATATATATATATATATACACGTAGGGGGCGAAGGAAAGTGGAAGCATAGCGCACCAGCCCCCTGACCTGATTTCCCTCGTTTCCCTTCGTTACACCCGCTGCCCTGGATACAACTGGGTGAACTCGAGCTTCTCTCGTCCTGCATCCCTATCTTGTATTTATATACGCGTGTATGCCCACGTGTGCCATGTAAATAGGTGTACGTGCATTCGATATTTGATGCCTCGATCCGGGGAGTACTGCAACCATACGAGGGCTATAATGATCATACCGAGTGGGAATTCGCGGCAAAAGGGCTTGAGTTACGTGCCGAAAACTTGATACGTGCCCACAATTTTTTTTTCCCCCCTTCGAAATTATTCCCTTCAAAATAATTGAAAGTGTTTTTTTTTTTTTTAACAACAAAGTCAATATCGTCTGTATTTGGGCTATTCCGAGCAACCTTTGAAGTTTCGAGTTTTGGGAACAGCCAAATAATTTTACAATTAAATGCCACACGTAGAAAAAAAATCATCCGATAAACACGCGACTGGATAACTTAAAAATCCCCCACAAAAAAAAAAGTCGTCCATCGATGAAACCCTTTGAAAAACTGAAAAGCCCCCAAGAGAGGGACGGATGCTCACCTAAAGTACCAATGTCCGATTTACGATCCATACATCCTTTTGGACAAAGGCGAACTCCACAGTATATTATAGACATCCGACGGTAATCCGGCAATAAACACCGATCAGCCGTACCTTGAAAAGGGAGAGAGCACTGCCGCGCGCGGTGTACACGGGGTAGGTTAGTGAGCGCGCGGCGCAGGACAACTGTCAAGGCAGCATTACAGGGGGAGTTTCCTTTGTCGTACCCGCGTATTATACTCGTCGTCGTCGCGCGTTTGATCGATCGTCCCAACTGGGTCGCGGCGTTTCCTCTTTCTTCGGCCGCTCCCTTTCACCTTATTCTGGCCTTTGCGCTCGTTCTCGCTCGTAAAGAGAGAAATAAGACGGGGGGTGGGGGGGTGGTAGCTCCACACGGCACGCGACAACCGAGCGGGGAGTGTCCTCTGCCAGAGTCCCTGTGATTACTCAATGTTTCTCGTTGATTGTACAATTGGCCGCTGCCAGGGTGTCTCGTCGGTGCTGCTGACTCCCTCCTCCCCCAAAAGCCTTGACTCGCTTCTTTGATAAACACAATCAACGTTCTTGTCGATTGTCTTGAAGCCAACACCAATGGTCGATTACGATTTTTTTTTTATTTTCTTTTTCACACTCGACTACTCGGGTAGGCCGTGCGCAATGCATCGAGACAGGTTTTCTCCCTCTGGACTTTACTGTTGGGTCAACCCTGATGGGCTAATGTACGGATAAGTTACGGGTACATAGAGAAAAAAAAAAAAAAACTAATTCCAGTGCACCTCTCGTCTACTACAGGACGATAGGGTCAGGGAGGGCCGAGCCAATCAGCATGGGATGATTTACTCGCGAAGGATATATCTAAGTACTGGGGGGAACAAATATAGGGGTGGTTTCTACGCCACGTTGGCTAATTTCATGATGATAAAAAAAAGAACAAGACTAGTCAATCACTCGTGCTTGTCATTTGGCATCATAGCTTTGTGTCATCCCAGCTCGGCTGTTCTTCTTTATTCCTCCCTCCGTATTTTAACCCATCCCGTTTGGAGAGTGAGCGATAAAAAACGAGCAGAGCTTAATTCAACATATATGTACATACTTCGTTACTAAGTTCAACTGTATCGTTTTGTCGCGTATAGTTTTATAGTTTAATTTCTCCCAAAAAAAATATTACGCTAATTATCGTAATTAAAATAGCGCCTGTGTATGAGCACCCGATTCGAGGGGTCCGTCCGCGAGAGGTACAGTGAACAGACGCTCATTTGTTCTGTCAAGTGCAAATATATATTATATACATTGTTTCATCGCCCACTGCGCGCAGCCTCGCGACATATACACAGGGTTGCAAAACTCGAGAGACCCGCATTTCCGACTCCGGCCTCGTTAGTCATCATCGCACGCGAGCGCGTTCCAGCTGAAGAGAATAATCACTGCAGCTGTAATGGTTGCCTCTATTTACTCGCTAGTGCGCTTTTTAATGAGCAGCGCCGCCCGTTCTGATTTCATGCAAACATACTTTTTTTTTTCCTCCTCCTCTCTGTTACTTTATTTTGTTCATCATTATTTCTTTTTGTCGGTCCTCACCTCGACTTTCCACTGTAACGCACTGAAATCACTCCTTTCTCACAGTCGAACGGAACATCTCGAGTTCGACCTGCCATGTATACTTACAAAGCAGTGAAGCGCACACGCGCCTTATAGACACATCGTTTGGCAGCAAGCATTTCCCGCGTGCCTTGATTCGAAAAAAAAAAAAAAACTTTGGCCAACGGGAGCAGCGAGAGAGACAAATGAATCAGCCTACGGAGCTCTTGGCTCGAGCCTTTCCAGTGTTATCTCTTTGCGCGGAAAAAAAAAAAAAAAAAAAAAAAAAAAGAAAACAGGGTGTACGCGATTCATCGAAACGGACGATACGTGCCTCGAGTGCGCGTACAGCTGTCGTTAAAACTACTTTCATAGCCCGTGCCTGCTTCAAAGCGCGGTACACACGCTTCTAAAATGCTCAAGTTTTGCAGAAACACAATGTTTTTTCCCCCCATTTTTTCGATCGCATTTGTTTTTCCTGTAGGGAAACGGATGCTGGAGAATACCCACCGTTCGCCATAAGTTGCCGATTTCCGCGCTCAGCCACTGGAACATCCAAGGCTGAGAATGGCACCGATAGCCGATTGTACATAAATTAGCGCTCGCGAGTTTTCTCTCGAGCATAAGCGATGATCGAAACGATAATCTCGGAGTAGAGTAGAGATGGAGGAAAAAAACTCGCCGATCTTTCACAAATGCGCGGCCGATGTACTTGTTTGTTAGTCCGAGGGAGTCTCGCCAGGATGCATATTATAAATACACGAACGTGAAATCCTTGGAAGGTAACTGGGATGTATTATATATACGCGGAGGGGACCGATTTATCGATCGCGAGCGCTTTTCGTTCCGTGATCGAGTGATAACCCGGTAATTTTAGAATTTTCCTTCGCGTATCCCGTTTATGTTAATTCGATCGCGTCACGAGCGCGTCAATCGAATCGTCGAGTACATCGTTTCACGTAAACGCTGCGATCCTGCACACGATATTGGGCTCCTCTTGTGACGTATACGTGCACACACATACACATAAACTTGGTAAATCGATTCGTTGGAACGTGGTGTATTGCGCAATTTACATCAGACATTTCCATTCGAACGTCGAGAAAATACCAAAAGACCATAATATCGCGTATCCATTAAACCTGAAGCAGCTCTCGATTTGCGTATTTGGCCGATAGTCGTACACCTAATGTGCATTTTGTCTGTTTCAGAATGCACTTGATCGACAGATTTTTCAAGATATGGCTGGGAGCGATGCTGGCGTGGCTGCTGGTCCGCTGCGGTGTTCTCGGACTGCTCTTCAGCTCCTACCGATCGACCGTCGAAACGTTCACAGGATAAAAGGAAAAAAAAAAAAAAATAAATAAAATAAGGCCATACCTGCTCGGCGTGTGTACACGGGCGCCTTGTGCATCTCTCTTTTTCAGATGTGTGTCTACCGATCGGTAATAATAATTAGACGCCGTTGGAGCAGGAAAAGCAAGCCTGTGTCCTTACCAACCCACGGCACGACGTCAGTGGAGGTGTAATCGACGAGTTTTAATTTAATGGCTCCAAAGACGCAAGCTGTCCTGTAATAATATTGTTATTGTTGTTACCACACCAAAGGTGTAAAAATACAATCGTGTGATCGAGCGTAATAATAACGCTGAGGAGGAAGCTCAATCGCGGGAAACGTGCGCACGCGAGTGGCTGGTCTTTTTTTTTTGTTCCTTTTTTTTTTACGTAGATAATGGAAAATAGAAAAAAAAAATCATGGAATCCTGCGGCTTAAGTGAGTCGTGATGCCAATCGACACATTGTTTTGCGCATACGTTAGACAATTTTGTACCTATTTTCCGGATAGTCGCATAATAAAAGCATAAAGGTGTCACCAAAAGCTTTTGTTTCAATACTTAGCTGTTTTCGTTTACGTTGTATTACAACAGACAGGAGACCAAAATATTATTTAATTTTTTTGTTATTATTTGAAGAAAAAGTGTTTTTTCTTTTTTATTTCACACTAGTAGCTATTACCAACCGTTCGCTTGTTGGATATTTTAACATTGTAAGGCGTTCGTGGATTAAAGAATTTTTCTTAACTAAAAGGACATATACTTAAAATATTTTTGTAATGTATCTTAAACATCTTGCGACATATTGAAACAGATACTTGTACCAGACTATATTTTTTTTTAGTTATTCTAAAAACTCTCTTTTATGTATTTTAATCTATAAATAAAAAATAAAATTTCAAAAATTTTTTACTTAGTCAACAGTCGTTTGTTAATGTTTTACTATTTCCTGATGTCTTCTTTATAAGCACAATTAATTACCACAACTTTTCCCCTTACCTTCGAATCAATAATTTGATAAATTCATCATACTTACGTTAAAAAACGCTTGGACGTCATGTAACTATATTGTAGTCATGATGTATGTTATTTTAATAATTGTGGGATAAATTTCAATTTTTTCAGATTATTTCCTGACGATTTGCTAATCAATGTAGGATGTGCGTGGAAAATAATATTTTCTGTAATTAACATTCGTAATACAATACTCAATTTTTTTAAAGCAAAGTTTGTTTTATTTTTCAATTCGTTATATAATATAATTAACTGTCTAAAATGAAAAAAAAAGTTGCGACTTCTGCAAAAACTGAAAGTATTGTTTTAATTTTTACAATTTATATTTTAAGAAATTTTAAGTTTGTATCTGTTTGAAAAAATAATAAATTTTTTTAAAATTAAAATACAATGCATAAAAAAAAATTCTTTAGTAGAGAATTCATGAATGTCATGTTAATCTAGATTACAATCATGACAATTGTGTATTGTTTAAGCAACTTTGTAACTTTTCCTCATAACTACCTTAATGTACACATGAGAAATTCTGCACAAAACTTCAATTCGGAGTCCTACAAAATGAATTTTTTTTTTTACTAACTCATCGGATGAAAGTTTGTATCTTGCACATGGTTTCTCTACGTAACTTCTTTATTGCAATACTTTTTTTTTCAAATGTTTATAAGAATTCAAATTACTTCTTATTTAAATTACTTCATGCATGAATTTATTATTCTGTCGAAATCAAAAACTATTGTACTACAGAAGTGAGAAATTTTTTTTCAAAAAAGTATGTTTTCAAACGCAAGAATACCAAGACGCAACCCTCTTGAATAGAAATAAAAAATACCCCAGGGTCAGTATGGCGCGCGAGTGTTTCGCGGCAGCGTTATCTCAACCAGCGCATCACTACTGCTTACCTACTTCTTCTTACCACCGGTGGTACTCAATAGCTTATCAGTGTACTTGCTACCGCAATACATATAGGTATACTATATTAATCTTGGAGATCATTCATATGCGAGGTATTGCGCAATCGGGTCAATCCACCGAACTGCACGCCAACGGTCAACAAACGCGTTTCGTTCGGGATTTTTTACTTTCTCTCTCTCTCTCTTTTTCTCTATGCACGAAGACCCGTTTCGGGAGGACTTTATAAGTACGTGGATAATAAGCCAGCATGAGTCGCCTATCAAGACCTAACGCTTACTTTGATACCGCTTAGATTGGCCAACTCTTACTTCAATGGCCAATTATTGGCGGTACGTGATTGCGCGCCAGGAAGAACTCTAGTACTATACTCTATGGCAACTTAATTTCACGACATCTCACTGCTCGGTTTGAAATTGTATTACCGTTTTTTTATTTTATTTTTTTCGATTCATCTAGATAATTTTATCACGTTTTCTAAACAATAGTGTATGGGACTTAACGATGCGCACACAATTGTCCTCAAAAATGAAAAAATATTTTGAACAAAAAACAAACCTGTCAAATAAAAAGCTGAACTCGCTACGGGACTGGAGTACATTAATTGTTTTTTTTTTTTTTTTTTTTTTTTTTTTTTATGTAACCGGGACAAAGAAAAAAAGTATTTCGAGATTGTAAGTTTAACAAGCAAGAGAGGAAATATGCAAAAATATTCGAATTTTCCAATCTCATGCTACGAACGTGTCTCTCTGCACGCGCGACAGCATCGCTACGTGTGATTTGCATGCATTGTGAATGGTAAGGTTGCAGTGTCAGCTTGTGCTTTGATTTTTCCCTCCCCCCTTTTTTTTTTTTTTTTTTATAGAATCGTACTCTGCCAGAGAGGCAAATAAATCGGTAAAAAATTAATACATAAACTTTTTAAATAAATTATTTAACCACGGCATAGGATAACTTAGAAAACACCGCAATCGTTTGGCAAAAAATCGGTTCGTCAAACCAAGCGAAATAAAGTTTGAGTATAAATCGCGAGAGAAACCCAAAAAACACCAACACTATGCAACATAAGCGAGAAGAAAAAGCAGATGCAGCCGAGCGATAGTCGAGAGTAGGTATGAACTTTTTGTTTCTTTATCAGAGCAACTTCTCGCGCGCTCCCTCCCTCCTCTGGTCACCAGCCGTCCTTGACCGTCCTTACTCCGAAGACAACGCGACAGCATGCTTGCGCTGCTGCCGCTGCTACACGCGCATAATATATCCGTCCATGCAGTCAGCGGCTCGAGCTAATCGGCATCGCTACCAACAGCCGGTCGCCTGACGAGAGCCACATATAGCGACGAGAGGCTCCCTTGTGTACGCGTACTTATACACGTGCACGGGCTTATTTTCACTTATTTCGCGTAATTCTCCATCGTCCCCGCCGTTCTGGCTCTCGCATACGTTATACGCACACTCGCGCAGAGTCGTACGAGCAAACCGTGCACACAGAAACGTCGCAACAGAGGCCCCAAGAAGAGCGAGACTACTTTAATCAGTCACGGCGCACTTTAGTACTGGCCGAGCGGTCAGCGCGATCGGTACACCCGTACACAGCACATACAAGTGCATGCATTTTATTGGCTGTGCCCATACATATATTATATACACGTACATAAACTGCACTCAAAATCGTGCGCGATCGCAAAGTACCGACCGAGCTACGCTGTTACATCATCATAACGATACGATCGCGCCGATTGAGCTCGTGTACAACAGTGTGGTGCAACATTGATCGGCTGCTTGCAAGCTCGGAGATGAGAGCTTTTCCCGCCTCGGAGCGTAAAATCGTCTGGGACCGGTGAGATCGGTAAATACGCGATACCGATCGTAAGCTGTACGGTCCCCGTCAGTGCAGCTGTATACATATAAATATAAGTGCACGGTATAACACATATACATAATACAGTTTGCAGTAGATCGGCAGTTTTGGTATATAGAATGCGAACACGCGCGTTACGGTGCCGGTCTGTGCTGCAGTTGTGCGAAAGCAAGTGTTTTTGTGCGAACCGGTTTTTTTCCCCGAGCGACCGGTTGCCGTAATAGCAGCCTTATGCCGATGACGAGGATGTGTTGTGTTATTAGTGCCGCACAACGACTGCAGCTACCGTGACTGAGTCGTCACTGCCGTCCGTCCGTCCGTCGTTCTTCCCTCGTTTTGCCGGATTATCATTTCATATATACTTATACACACTTGCCTCGAGAGAGCATCAGATGAAGCATCTTACGAGCAGCGCAGCAGAGAAAACAGATCGCGAAGGAGAGCAACGAAACGATGAGAATCATATCGGGCGCATGCGCGCGGACTTGACGCGAGTCCCGGCTATGAGCTGCACGCGCGCACGCCGATATCGCCAAGTACGATACTTAACATATATACCTACACCGATGCAAGAGTATTTGTCCGCACATATCATATATGTGCATAACAATGTATGCAGAGTAGTTTGTTGCTTTCGAGACGAGTTAACTCTGCCTATCTGCCCGTCCGTCTGACTCTTGAGAAAACTCTTTTGACGATGCACACGGGCAAAGAGCTACCGTAGCAGTAACAAACCACGGCAACCGATCGATCGCGCCGCAGTGGTTTTCATGCCTCCAGCTGTGGAATATACCCGTGCTGACACGAGACGTGCCCCGTCCAACTGTTGGTCTTTCGCTCAACCGCGCGCTTTCATCCGGACGGAAAAGGAGGAATCGGTCATGATCGGCTTGTTTTGAAGGTGAGAGATCGCTCATCCACCCCACCTCCCTCTTACCCCTTTTTTCATCCGATCGTCCACGCTTTGGTATCTACTTTGTGTACTTGCCAATGGCACATCCAGGAAAATAACATAATGGACGAGCAGGTGGTATTCTCGCCCATTATCGTACCTTTGTACCATTTGCACGACGTGTTTGCTACTGATCGGTGTAGTTTTTACGTGGCCCCGATGGGGACCCAACATAAGAGACTCCCCGAACGGATTCGCCTGTAGTGGATGTCTACGTGCATTTTTTTCGGCTCGTGTTCGCACAGCTGAATTGAATTCGTTTTCGCTCGACTGGCATTGATTCACGCAAAAGTTAATTACGTAGTTAACAAGTCGGGAGCGATGATTTATTCGCAATGACCGTCGTTTTTACGCGAATGAACGTGACCAAGGATTTGACACACATATTTTTGCTCTACTCGAATTTTCCGGTCTTTCGTGATTTATTTTAAAAACTGAAGAATCAAAACAATGGAGAACGAGATGTTTTATCTTATCTGTCTTGATCGGTACGATTATCTGCAAGCGCCCTTCTGATCGCGGTGATTTGAGTAACACAACGAGCGACCAATAAATTGAAACAATTATTAACATTTACTTATTCTGCCCGTTTGACTGCTCAAACTTTTAATTGTCAAATAAGGGAACATTAATCGTCACCTGGCCAAACTTTGTTTCGATTCGCCAGCCACGGCTAAAGAGCTTACTTCGAAACTAACAGATAAAGCCAAAATGACGTATTCGCCATATCGAAAATATCGCATATATACGTATTTTTCAAACACGAATGTATAATGTTTTATACATTATAGTTTTATACGTATATGTATATTTTTCTTTGTTTTTTTTTTTTTTTTTTTTTTTTTTTTTTTTTTTTTTTTTTTTTTT